TACCATTGTTATCATCTCTTGATGTTCAATTAAGTATATGTATCTATAGTCTTTCCTTTATGACACATAAATTATATATACTCGCTTCTCTCTCTTGTTATCGAAGAATATAACAAATGAGAAGGGAAGTTCCCCTTTTGCGATAACTCTCTGGCATCATTGGATTTTATCATATTATATACATAAGGAAAGGTTGCTGGATAGAACTTGAAGGTTCACGAGCTTTTCCTTCTCAATAGTCAGTACTGAGTAAAGCAAAGTTTTTCGTCAGCGAACTATGTATTCAGGATAAGCTGTGTTATCACAGCTGCAGTCATAGACAGAGTAATGCTTATAAAAATCAAGTGATCTGCCCATGCAGATAAAATCTAGAAAAAACGAGTAAATATAGTATTAAAAAATTGAAACCTTTCGAGAATGGAAAAGAAACCCCCTCTCTCTCTCGCTGCGATGGGACTAATCCTTTGAAATGAAGTTTTAATCGTAAAACATTATAATCCATAATGTCTAGGCAAAAATTGCAACTTCATGCTGTTAGTTTCGTTAGAAATTTCGACGTATTTTTATGATATTAAATATATCCACGCGTTCGTAGCGCGCTAAAATGTGCCCTATTTCACTATTGAGATTTTATTTAAGTTTCTGAGCATTGCTGTACACGTTCGAGCTTGTCGCTTAAACGGTCTGTTCGAAGAAAAATCGACAATTATATACTCCAAAGATAACTTCTTAAATCTTTAAATATTATTTCTATCTTGTAACACCATCATATTGATTAGACTGTATTCTCTACCAATCTATTTTCAACTGTACCATTATAATGTTCTCATATTCATTTAATTTTTCGAGTTTGAATTATGTACAAGCAATGCTTGTACTTGCAACTTGCTTGATCCTCGAATTTATGTTCAAATCTCTCTGTATAAAACAACTATTACGTTACCAGTCAATCCATACTAATATCAAATGTATATAGAAGGGTGGATGTGAGTTGGACTGTAAGTGTATGTGTGGATGTCGTAGTGGATGCGTCTGTCAGTGTCCTTATTGGTGCTCATGTTGATGAAGACGTCGATGTCTGTTGAGCGCAGTGTTTCCTGTTAACTATTCAGACAATTACACTTATACCTACCTATTCACGACTAAACCCAAGTCCAAACACCGCAACACACTCATACCAAACATCATACATTGCACTCCCATCCGAACCCCAACACCACAATTACATTCAAATCTATCAATGGCTACACTCAAACATCACATCAACACACCCTTACACAGCCACGTCCCACACCCACGTCCTAGTCGGTGTTTTCTTCTAAATACATGGTACCGATGTGTCTATACATGTACAGTTACTATCTTTCTAAAAATGATTCGGTGACGAAATTTTTGACAAAAAAGTGTTATACAGACTTTCCTCATTAAATCAAAACATAGAATATTTAATTGAAATGTGTTGGAGCTGATGGTCAACTTCTTCATGTCAATCGATGCTGATCGCTAATAGTGACTGATGCACTGGTTTTTTGATGAAGGAGGTCAAGAACAGCGTTCCACTTCTAGTTGTGATGCTGCATAAAATATTTGTGGCTAGCTCTTTTCGATAATGAGCTGCAGTTCCAGAGGCGCATTCAACTTTATAGAGTTACGTTAAAATAGGGCGTTCAGTAATTCTATTTCATATGAAGAGAACTGGTCATAAGCATTTCATGTTGATAAGAAGATTTGATCATCAGCATGTACTTAGACTAATGAGAGTTGATGAATTTATTACAATTCAAAGTGTTAAACTAAAATTGATGCGTGTCGACATATGATTAATAACAACTAAACCATTTTTCTTTATAAAATCTTACGATAAAAGAAGGGGAGGTAAGAAAACTATTTTGTCAGGACAAATTGTTTCGGCAGACAATTGAACAAGAAGATTCATATTAATAATAGCACCATTACTACTTCAATGTAAGAATTATATCCACTTCGTTTTTATTTTAAGCTCTACACTATCATAGTAATTATGAAGCATTTATTTGCGGTTTAGGACAAATATTATTTCGTAAATCTTCAAAATGAGTTAATCAACTACTTTAATATTTATGCGAAAAGTGGGAATTTAAACTTTAGAATTGTCGGTATGCTTTTAGAAGTAGTCGAAACCTCTTCTAAAACTGTGTACATGACTTTTTTTTCGGCTTGCGCTAATAACGTAACCACAAGAAGTTTTTTTCTTATTGTTGACTTCGCGACGATTTAATCTATTCTATAAATCATAATATGCTACCCTATATTGACTGGTTTTTGCAAATCATAATGCGTTTTGAATAGAGAAGAATTGCACATAAGTAACTTGAAAACAAATCTTTAAGAAACGGAGGATGAGTGCCTTTCTGCTGACAGTGTCCATATTCTTCTTGTTAGTATCACGAACAGAGTATTACGAAAGGAAAAGAAATGATTCATTTTTTCTATTGTTGTATAGAAAGAGAAAGTACTGATAATAATTTTTCTTTAATAATGTTCTATAGGAAAACAAATCTAAAATATTTTAAACAATTGTTTCGAACTCGTAACAATCGTACTTTCATCAACGTTCAACAGCAAATACAAATTGTATGTGATGAATCGCTTTGGTGATATCGATGTTTCATTTAAGAGACTTCCACCTGTTTATGGTTATCATGCTGAAAAACTTGTGCCGATTGAAAAAGCACTAGAGCCTGTCGAACCTCAAATTGATGAACTGCCTCGTTTTATAAAGATAGCTAAACGTAATTGTCATTTTCCGTCAGAACATGGACTATCACGTGATCAATCAGCTGCTGTTTATATCTATACAATGGAATGGGGTGATACTACTTTATATCGTGTATTAAATAAAGCACTACGATCTGAAAATCGGCAAGCATTAAAGATATGGTTTCCATATTTAAAATTATTTGATACGGCATTGGATAAGTTACCTACTGTTAAAGAGGCGGTATGGAGAGGTGTGCCTCTTGATATTGGCAAAAACTTCACCAGAAACCAAATTGTGACGTGGTGGAGTATTAGTTCATGTTCGTCATCAGTCAAAATTATTGAAAATTTTATTGGCAACGGCAAAAATGCAACTCTTTTTTTAATTGAAGCTATTAATGGAAAAAAAGTTGCTGGCTATACAGAGTATGAAACTGAAGAGGAAATTATTTTACGAATCGGCTCACAATTCCGTGTGAAGAGCGAT